ACCTGTACCCTGCTTCCACATCCTGGACACTTCCTTTTGTGTTTGAGCTCTGTCAGTTCTGGGTTCAGCTGAGTTGGCCTCCTCCCGTGCTTGCATGTTTGCTAGCACATCAGGATTGTTCTGGATTGAGATTATCCTTTAAGATTGGCCACATGTCCTTGGTTGAATGCTTCAAAAAGGCAGGTTCCAAGGGATTTTGCCTACCAGAGCTCCGAGCAAGCTGGAGTTTCTTATGAACTCCAGGGTTCTTAAATTTGCTGCGTCCCTCTTCTCTCCCCTCAGGATCTTTAGCTTCACCACCTCACAGCTGATAGAGCCAAGTTTCTTTGACTATTAAACCTGGAGAATCCTTCCTTGTTTGAGAGTTGTGCTACCAAGAGCATCTTCTCTAGCTTAATTGGTCCAGAACCTGCGTTGAAGTTTTGGTCAAGAAATTTGCTGGGTTGTTTATGTCCTGCCTTATCACCCTCTGTCAAGGGTTGGGGGGGTAAAGTGTCCTTAGTGAGAACCAGGGCTTGACTCCTGCCACATGTTTAAGTACAGTTCTCACTCCAGGACTTTTAAATATCTCTTAGTTTAAAAAATATCTCTCTTATGATTTAGGATGTCTGAGATGACTCAAGATTGGAAAATCATACCAGGAAAATATTGTTGCCTGCCTGTTTTTACCCTGTTCCTTGGATAAGCACCATTGCCAACAGTCAGAGAAAGGAAGCATAGGCAGACATGCCTTTTGCTTTGGCTGACCGTTGGCATTCATATTTAATGATCAGCAGAGTATTAGCAGTGCATATGAACTCTTATCTGCTGTATTTTTTTTGAATATAACTGAGATTCAACTTTGAGTCATTTCTTTGTACTTGAATGGTGACTTGAGTTAGACCTTACTGGCTCATGTTGTAGTTTTGCATCTGTTCCAAATGGTTTCAGGCTTAAAAGGCAGCTGACCTCACTCTGCCTAAATTATGGGGTGAGATTAAAACCCAGTGTGTACAGCTTTCATTCTTACCATTCTCCTTGAGTCTGCAAATCGCCAAAAGCAGTAATTGCTGTAGCAGAAAAGGGGAAGAAAAGAGTAAAGGGTAGTAGAATGTTTTTATAAATGGAATAGTTTTGATTTATTTTCAGGTTTTCTGTTGGCATGCGAAGCAAATCTGGTATTTTGTAGACTCTGTGCAGTTCTGTTCTTAGAAAAGGTATATGTTAAAATGTTCTTTTGATTGCCCAGTACCTCAGAAGTTTAGAAAATGATTGATAATGTACTTCTGGCTAATTGCAGCCTAAATTGTCTGATAAAACATTTTTTTTCCATAGTTTTTTTTAATCACTAGTGTCTTCCCTATTCAGCAAATTTAGAACCCATCCCTAATTATTCTTACAGTTGTTTGTCACGGGTGCTGCTAAGAAAATTTCTGCATTGCCAATGAAATAACTTGATTTCAAGAGATAAGTTGTAACCCCCTTTAGTGTCTAATCCTTGAGAAACTGACTACAGTAACAACAATTTGTTAAGAATTGGAAAAAAACACAGGACAAAGAGCTGCTGGAGATTTTTTGTTTTGTTTGGGTTTTTTTAAGCTAATAGCAAAGCTGGGAAAGAAAAAAGAAATGGGATATTATTTAAATAAGCATAATCTAAAGGCTAATATTCATAGGCTTCCTGGGAGATAGAAACTCTTAGCAAATTATGGCATCCAAGTTAGGTTCCTGCTCTGAATAATCTAATCCCCTGGAGAAAAATGTCTCCATTTGATTTAGTTAAGATAATTTCTACATGTAGATATACAAGTTAGGTGTCTCTTAATGTTTTGCTTCTCATTTTTCCAAGTCTAGAGGTTTGGGGTGTTTTTGTTAATTATTCCACAAGATGATTAATATGCAAGTAGAATTACAGGCACTGTTGAGGTCCCTTTATACTCTTCATGGATAAGTTTATCTCACAAATGGTACCAGTGTCTTGGCAGATGCGAGTTTACTTTGGTTTGGGGGGTTGTTTGTTTTGGTGGTGTTTTGGGTTGGTTGTTTTTTCCTTTCTTCTGTAGCTTGACCTAGCCAGTGGAGTAACTTGAAGTACTGGGACTGACAGCGATGACAGTTCAGATTAGTAAGGGTGCTTTACATAAACGTGCTGTGTGAAAGGTTGATTGTAACCCCTGAAGTTTGCTGTGTAATTTCCCATAAGTTAACTGTGAGGTCTATATTCTCTTTTGCTTTGAGTTTCAAAGCAATCGTCAGTGAAATCTCTTTTGAGTGAGATAACATTTGAATTTAGTGCTCCATGGTTTGCAGTATCATACCACTTGTTCCTTTTCCAAGTCACAGAAGTTATTAGTTTTTTCTTGTTACAGTTGTAACCTTGCTTTTATTCCTGACCAAAATAATACTCCTGTATATTCCATTAAGGACGTGCTCTATCCTAATACTGCATTTCTTTGAAAAGGCATATGATTAGATTGTGATGGAAATACGGCTTTGCTTTTTGCATGTGGCATAACTAGCACTGCACTGACTATCCAAATGTTTGGAATTACTGTCAGCATCTCACATGTTTCTACATAACCTGCAAGATGAAAAGATCTGTAGGCTGATTATTCCCTATCATGATATTCTAACACTTTTTCGGTGATGGTTTGGTTTGGTTTTTAACCCTGTAAATACCAAGATCGCAAGTCCTTCTCTCCATGCTTGTATCTTGTCTTAGCTATTTTACTAAAATGAGTTCTGGTGATATTCCAAGACATGTAAGAACATTAAGAATGTCTTTCAGGAATCAGATGAAGTTCAAAGTATTTTTCTCATATTCTAAAGGGTAATGAAAGCAGTCTCAGAAGAGGGAACATCTGTCTGGAATGACCTGGGGTTAGAATAGCTCTTTGGACTTTGGAACTGGGAAAAGATGCCTAAATTAGCAACTGCCTTGGATTTAGGATGGAAACAAGTGATTTCAATAGATAATTTAAATGTGGCTCATAAAGTTTATATAAAATAGTTTGTATAATTTGAATTGATCTTATTTCTTGTCTGTGGAAATGAAAGGAAATCTGTGCTCTCTAGAAAGTATAATTTCAGTAGGTGTATTTAAGCCTTTAAACATGAATCAGTATACTAAGTATTTAAATATTGTGATTTTATTTTTCATTTAGGTTGAAGATTGTAAAAATTTCTTTTAAGTGCAAGCAGTTTTTTATCCAACTTAGGAAAGAATTGGTGAGTACTGTCTTGAATTCCATCTCAAAAAATGAGAACAGTGAAATTTCTCCATACTGCATGTCTGCATTATACTGACCGATATTATATTGATTCTTTCCTTTATCTGGAGTTAAAAGGCCAGTTTCACCAACATTCTAGCTATTTCAGTTCTCAAATGGACCTCTACAATGCTTTACAAGACTTTTTTCATTTGACTTTCCTTATATTTTAGATATATTTTATTTTTATATTTGTATGTAGGAAATGAAACTTGCTTGTATAAGATGAATGTTGAAAGGGTTGAAAGTAAATCAATATTAAATTTAAATTTCAGAAGAAGCCAAATTAAGACTAAAGGTAATGCTTAATGCTGTTGCAGTTGTGTATGTGCTTGTAAGTAAATTTTTTTTATTAAAACATGCTGATTTGTATTACTAAGATTTAGTAATACAAGTTGGCTTTATTACTTGTATTTAAACAGAAGAGATAAGAATGTCTTTGCAGTTTTAAATTATCTGTGGTAATTTTTTTATGCCTACTTCTAAATTTGTTGGTGAAAAAGTTGAAGCTATTTGGGAGGAATGTGTATGTTTCATTGCTTGTGGTGTGTGTTTGCTACCCTGTGAAGCGCCACAGGACTGCTGCGCATTTAATTCAGCAAGAAATAGATTCTTCCACGCCTCCAAGAGATTAGTCTAAACCCATCGCAGACATATCACTGGGGAAAGATGGAGAAATTAATTAAAAATATGACTATGTGATTAACTCATCAGATCAGTTAAAAGGTTTTGTTCAGTTTGTATAGCTGAAAGGATTTGAAGACCTGAAATGCAGAGCTACTGACTAGATTAAAAAAATGTATTCTAGGCCAAATGCATCCCGAGTACTATAGAACTATTCCAGATTGAGACAATATGGTTAAACAAGAAAAATACAAGGAGGAAACACCACATCAGATCAGGCCAGTGTCTGGTGACTAGTACTTGTACTGCAAACAGGAGTCAAACTGTCCTATCTTAAAAGCAGATCCTTTAAAAACAGGCTCAGGAGTTAGCAGTTTCCTCAAATGGAACTGCCTGACCACGTGCAGACAGTTGGTTATGTGTTAGTTGGCAGGAGTTTCACCCGTGTGCTTGGAGCAGTGTGAGTACTTGTCGGTGTGGAAGTACGGTAACAGGAGTGAGAAGTTTTTGGGGTAATTATGTGTACAAAGAAACTAACTTCAGCTATTACATGAAATAAATGGAAGTATCTGCCCACGTGAGCAAACATCATGCAACAGAAGGAGAGAAAGGTGATGATATGAAAAGAAGGGGGGCAGAGGAATAATTAATTGTGGTGACACAGGTATTTCTTAATACCCTACAGGAGCTGTAGGCTAGTTCTCCCAGGCAGACTGACCTCTGACAGCCCAGGGTTTGAATTTTGTCTTGATACCAGTGTGTGTAACTTCCATTACCGTTGCAGGAATGTTGTGTTTAAATCTGAGTTGAGAATTGGGATTTTTATTTGAAATTCAGAAATTATGAACTGCAGTTGTTTTGTAAAACAGAACTTGAGGAATGCAGAGTTCAGAACCTTGAAGATTGAGGTACTTAAATATAAAATTTGATTGGGTGATGTACTTGAGTGTTTTTCTTACAGAGGAGGCCATGAAGATGCTCAGAGGGCTGGAGCCCCTCTGCTATGGGGACAGGCTGAGAGAGTTGGGCTTGTTCAGCCTGGAGAAGAGAAGGCTCTGGGGAGACCTTAGAGCACCTTCCAGTACCTGAAGGGGCTACAAGGAAGTTGAGGGGGGACTTTTTACAAGGGCCTGTAGTGGCAGGACAAGGGGTAACAGGTTTAAATTGAAAGTGGGGAGGTTTAGATTAGATATCAGGAAGAAGTTGTTCCCGGAGAGGGTGGTGAGGCACTGGAACAGGTTGCCCAGAGAAGCTGTGGATGCCCCATCCCTGGATGTCTTCAAGGCCAGGCTGGATGAGGCTTTGAGCAACCTGGTCTAGTGGAAAGTGTCCCTGCCCATGGCAGTGGGGGTGGAACTAGGTGACCTTTAAGGTCCCTTCCAACCCAAACCCTTCTATGATTCTATGCTTCTATGTTTTCTGCAGAAAAAAAATCTGCATAGAATTGAGGGTAATAGCTTTTTCACCTTGTGGTTTTCTGGGGTTTTTTTCTGCTGCTTTTTAATACTTTGCATATTGTTACTTGCACGAGAATGTAGTGTACCTAACTAATGTAATTTCTCTTCTGAGACATCATCTCCATGCCAACAAATTAAAGAGACTCATATGGTTTTTCTTTTAAACTCTATGCATTAGATGAAAACTGATGGCAAGAACTTCATTCATTCCAGGTCGTGAATATCTTAAGATCAAAGCTCAAATTTGGCTTCCAAAGAAGGCATACTTAAACTAATCTTTTTTAATCAAACCTAGTATTAAAATTCTTATTTCTAGAGTTACTTTCCCTGAGTATACTTGTAGGATAAGATTAATATCACGTATATTCAGCTTCAGTTAGGTTAAGAGAACTTATTTTATGTTTCATGAGAATTAGCTAACCAAAGCTAATCATTAGACTTTCTCTAGTAACAAGATACAGGCAAAGGTGAAACATCTTGCTTGAATAGGAAGTGTATTTAGGATGGATGAAGTTGCTCCCAGCTGTACATGTTTGCTTTTGCTTTCACTCCCATTAACAATAAAGGGAGCCTAAATGGCTCCTTTTAAGCAGCAGAAGCTAGGTGAAGTGACTCAGTGATTGCACTGAGTATGTAAAATATCTCTGGTCTAGTGCTTTGAGACTATTTTTAAAAGCTCAGATTTATGATATGGCAGTGAAAATAGATTCATGGTATGCTGATGATGTCTTTCAGAGTTGTGTGTAAATATACACCAATTGTTCAGCTGAGCATCCATATTTGTTTGGATGCAAAGCTGAGATGCTATCGGATACTAAATTAGTGGACTTGGGAGAGGAATTTTCCAGCAGGTTTTTTTTTCCAAATTGGGCTAAAGATGCTTTTAAGTAGTCTTATACAGACATTTTTCAAATACTGCTAATGAGTGTTGAGAGCTTTTAATTGCAACTGTCCTCAAAAGTGCAAGTGCCTTATCTTTTAATCACCTATTAAATTTTTTCCCTGACTTGGCATTGCTTAGAGGCATCAACATAAGTAAAGAATTATTTGCCTGCTGTTAATAGATTATATCTGTGTTTAAATAAATCACTTAAAGGAAGTCAAATGAAGCAGTTTAATGTCAAAGCCATATTCCAGTGTTAGCGTAATATAATCTTGAATGGAAGCTGGTTGTATATTCTGACAATTATGTAGCTGGAGCGCACATCCACTGGAGTAGCTTTTCTTTCCCTTGTTTCTTTGACTGGGGGCGGGGGGGGGGTGGAAGAAAGTTACATGTATGACTTCTTTATCCAACATTAGAAGCCCCCTGAACTGTAACTTCAGTGGCAGTTTTGTTTACTGTATTTTTGTTTATCCTGCCTGTTCCATCTGCTGCTTCCCTTACATGCTTTGAAGTTGTTTGGAATAGTTCACTTGTTTCATTTTTTTCGTTGTTTCCCTAAGCTTCTCTGGTTTTAGTTAGTTGCACCCTTGGCTGCTGTAATGTCAGTAGTCAGTATCGAACTCTTGATGCTGTCCAGCATACTTGAGTGGTCTTGATTCTTTGACAGCCAAATAAGCTGTTCAGCCTGTTCTGCTCTTGTAGAGCCCAGATGTCCACTGAAAAATTACTTGAGTCTGTAACAAAACAGTAGCATAGGTTTTGTCCATGACCAAGAGCTGACTTCGTTGTGGCCAAAAGCATTTGGTATTTTGGTTTGTGGGTTTAGTGGGTTTTTTTGTTTGTTTTAATTATACATTATTTATCTGAAGTTTGTGCTTTGAATTTTTTCTTCTTACAGGCTTTTAGGAAGATCTTGGGCTAGAATCACAAGGTGATACTTGGACTTATCTGCCCAAGTATACACTTAAGTAACACCGGCATTCATTAGATGCCTAGTTGATTGTTGCCTAATCCTATCAAAGTTTCTGCTGGTGAGGAGCAGATACTGTTGGCACCATCTGTGTTCTGTTTAAGCTTTCAAAGGACTTTTGTCCACTGTTCGTGGGATATGTCGAGTCTCTGGAACATCTGCTGCTTATGAAGTGCTGGTTGGTTTTGTGTCTCTCTGAGGTGGGGGTAGGGAATTTTTGCTTTGTCCTCAGATTTTTCTTTGTTAGGCCAAGTGAAAGAGACTCACTAGAGAGTAAGTTTCTCAACGCTGTTTCTATCCTGAGCAGCAGGAGTTCTGCTCTGAAATCCCTGTTTCTAATCAGGCAAAGGTGGGGTTGAATGTCCCCACCCAAGGTGGATGTTGAAGGGATGTGAGAGGGGCAGCAATATCCGTTCTGCTTTTTTGTTTGGTTTTTGTCCCCTTAATAAAAGGAACCACAGACATGACTTAGACTTGACTTTGTCCTATCTCTCCAGTGTTTCTTCTGGGATTTGGTAGTAGCCTGCCCCATGGTGTACCTGCGTGTGATTTGAATGAACTTACGTGGTGGTATTTGGCTTACCTCTAGTTTCATGCCTGGGCCCTGAGCCTCATCAGCTGTGCTGCACTCCAGCTGCCTCACTCTTCTCCCCCTCCATAGCAAGCAGACTGTTTTCCTCTGTAATGGGAACCGTGGACACAGTTAGCAAGATGGCCAGAGCGAATCCAACTGTGACCCCCTGAGGTAGTTGTCTAACACTGTCTCAACAGACATAAACCCCTGAAATAGCTGTATGTTGCTGTCATACCATAGAGCATTCATCTTCCTGGAGCCCTGTGCTGTGAACACATGGTCATAGGCTGCAGTGTAACCATCCTGTTATTTTAGGTGCTTTTGGCTGAAGTACCATGAACATTAGTTGCCTTGGGCTCTTACACTGAGCCCATGTTGATTCAAGCCTACTGTTTTCTGCGAAAACAGGGGCAATCTTAATCTAAGTCCAGCTACCAGACAGCAGTGAAACCAGCGTTTGCACCCCAGAATCATCAGCAAAGATGAATTTCACGTGCTCAACATAGTGTTTGGGTATTACAGAACCTGCAAGCGTGAATAGGAGAAGGATGGGTGCGCGTAGGAGCCAATCTTATACTCCTCTTTACCTTAGAGATTGATTCTTAGCTGTAATTGAGATGAAGGGTAGGGTTTGAGAATCTGTTCTCTCTGCACTGCAATGAAAGCCTTAAAAGCTATGAATAGAACTATTGTTAAGGTACCTTTAAAGCTCTAACACACCAAGTTCCTGTGAAAGTGCTGTTTCGCATTACAATTAAGCTGATGTAGCTGCAGCTCCTTCTCATCATGCGATAGCAGCTCCTTCATGCTTCATGCCTGATCTAGTGATCAGATGGTGACATGAGAATCAGATCAGCTTGTTCTCTGGAATACAAACTAAGGGAAACAGCAGGATTTTTTTTTTTTCTTTTACCCAATACATAATTATAATGCTTTGAGTGACATGAAAATGCATAATCATCAGCTCATATAACTTGTCAAATTCACTTTTCCAACATTGCAAAAGGCTCACAGGGGATTAAAATTTGCTGCATCATGACAACTTTTTGTTGGAATCTAAAATGTTGGCTGATTTGTCCTTTACTGGATCCAGATTAGGCAGTGCCTAATTCTACATAGTCACTCTGTTGCAGAAGAGTAATGTATTGTTTATGTTATTGTACATTTACATTGCGATAAAGCCTTTTTGAACTGAATAGGTAATGAACTTAATTTCTGTTACCTTGTTTGGGACTTAAGTACTTCAGTTAATATGTCTAGAAAATGCAGGGAAAAGTTGGCAATACTTGGAAATTAAGAAAAGAGGTATGTTTGTAAATTGAAGTAAAATATCAGGTTTTAGTTTCTTGCATATAATTTATTGAATTTTGTTAATAGATACTCAGAATTTGCTGCTTACTTTTTAAATCCATTCTATCTTTACCCTAAATTCATCATGTAGCTGAAAATACAGTGTTGTTCTTAGCCATGAGTCATGACGACTTCCCAGATACAGCACTGGGAGAAGAGTTTCTATCCTGGTATCTCAGCAGATCTAAAGATGATCTGGCCAGCAAAAGCTTAACTTGGAAAAGGAGTTTACTGCTAAGTGAAAACAGTTAAGGTGTGCTACATGTTGTGGAGGATTGAGTACTGTGAAGAGAAAGCAGGGTGCTGATGATTTCTGACTTACAAAGGTTGTAATCAAGCTCCCTCAACAGGCAGAATAGCTTAGCTTGCTTTGCAATTTCACTTCTTTCCTTTAAAAGGAACCTAATTAATCATTTAGAAGTAGGCACATCAGTTGCTCTTGAGATCAATACTTGTTCCCAATCCCTAATTGACACCTGTGCATGACAGTGCCTCATCTTAACTGTAGAAGTATTGAAACAGGGAGGCATGTTGCCTTTGAGTTCTCAAATGACAGCAGTTTTATATAGGTTGGGTCGTACCTTTTGGGACCATTTCTTCCCATCTAGACTTGTCTCAGTATCACTGAACAGACCGTTAACTTTTTAGCAGGCTCATTTTTGGGAAAAAAAGAAAAAAAAAAAGAAGAATTCCGTTAAAGAAAACTTAGTGGTGTTTTAAAAGTGTTGATAATACATAAAGTTAATATAAAATTAGAGAACCACTTCAAAAATCATAATTAAAAAAAAAAAACCAAACAACAAAACGAAGCTGACAATATTTATCTTAATTTCAAAAGTACCTGGGATTATTAATTTTTATCTGAAAGACTTTTTTTTCTCTCTCAGCATGAATCTAGAGAAACGTTACTGGGATTCAATATGGTGAATTACCGAGCATGTAAGAACTTGTGGAAAGCTTGTGTTGAACATCACACGTTCTTCCGTTTGGACAGACCACTTCCCCCTCAGAAGAACTTTTTTGCACATTATTTCACTTTGGGTTCCAAGTTCCGGTACTGGTAAGTGCTGATTTGAAATATATGGAAAAGAACATAAGAGAACAGACAACTCCTCAATAAACATAGGGTATTGTTTAGAATCTGTATTAAAAGGTGCCATATTTCAAGCAACTTTCACATCCTGCGACTGTTCCCCTCCCCTGCTGACTTAAATTTCAAATGGTGTAATTGGAAATTGTAATTGAAAATCAGTAATTTTCTAAGATATCTTGGAAGTAGAATTACTCTATTACTAGTGGTCGTTATGGAGCTAGTACTCTGAGATTGTCTCACAGGCTGTATTTCTTCGCCTGCTCACCTGCTGGGTTACGTTTATCTTAAAAATGTTGTCTTAGAACTTCAAAGTCTTTGGCTTGATGTTTTTGAAAACTGGTGGATCTCAGATCTTGTGTGCAGCAACAGCAACAAAACAGACCTAAATAAAGATCAAACAGAAATCAATGAAAAGAAGCTTGTACAAATAAAGCCCACTTAAGCTAGATGCATACAAATAGGCAACTAGGTGAAGACAAGACAAACATGATGTACACCAAAACCGCAAGTTTACAAAATAAGGATGAAGTCTAACTTGTAAGGACGAACTTGACATTATAAGCAAAAAGCTTCGAGATGCAAAGAATGACTGTGAAATAACTGTGATCCCCAAGTATAATTTCTGTTCTCATGATGGGGTGGGCGGTGTTGGTTTTTAAAGTGTTTTAAGCTTTTTATTGAAAAAAAAAAGTTAAGTAACCACTGAGTCTCTCCAAGTAATGCAGAACCCCAATGGTTTAAATCGTGCCTGAAGTAGAGAATAATGGAGCTACTACTAAGTCATCTGTCTAGAATGGCAGCAGCGTCTGTGACATATAAAGGGAGCTGATGAAAAGATGGAAAACACAATAACAGACTATTTCTGTTACGCTTATGAATTACATAAATGTGTAAAGAGCCAAGTAATTCAGTGGCTAAATGCTTATGCCATTTGACCAGCATTCACAGTGTTCTGTGATCCTGAACAGTGTTTGCAACTTGGCACAGTGTTGTAGTGAATTGCAGGGAGCTTTCTCATTTCTGCACAGATTTAGAATTTGAATCATTGTAGTTGCTATTGCAGAATAGCTCTTTGATAATGACATTCAACTTCCGTTAATGTCAGACAAAAAGGGAAACTGCATGAAAGTGAAGGAGGTCATTAAAGTTCATGAAGCAGCCAAAAGGCTAGAATTTGTGCAGGTAGTCTGAGAAACTGTTTAGAGGCAGCATAACAGTAGTAACACAGCACTCAAGGAGAGGTTAAGGGCACTGGGCTTGTTTTAATCTGGTGAGGAGGAAGCTAAGGGGGAAATTAGTAGCAAGCCTAAAGCTACTTCCATGGCAGCTTCAGAAATGAGGGGGCCAGACTTGTGCTGTTAGTGGCAGGTGATAGTACAAGGGTCAGCAGCCACAAATTTTGCCAAAACACTAAGAGTTTTGCCACATATTAGCAACTCTTTTAACCAGATGATAAACAAGTATGTCTGTTCTTCACAATGAAGGAAAGTTACCACTGAAGTGATAGAGGGTTTTGTAGTAAAAGCTGAATCTGACTGTAGAAAGTTTTGGTGGTGTGTCGCAATGATGGGTGGTGACTAGGCAGTAAAATGGTGACTCGAGTGCTGTGGCCAAAAATGCGAAGTAATCTACACAGGGAGAGAAAAAAGCACAATCACCAATTATATGTAAGCTATTATTGTCACAGAACTAACTACAAAGCTCCAAGACAACCTTGAATCAAGTATTACCTGCAGTTAGAGAAGGGCATGTACAGCGTTAGAGTTATTGGAAAGGAATTAAAGAAAATATAAACAGCTTACTGCTTGTCAGAGTTAAAATATCACTCCAGGAAGTTAGCAGGCAGAAGGATTGGAAAGAGATCTCTTAGAACTGCAGCATGGCAGAAGTTGGATACTTGTCTAGTCCAGTGCCCTGTTCAAACAAGGGCCCCTGTAGCTGGTTGCCTAGGACTGTGTTCAGCCCGGTTCTCACTGCCTTTAAGGACTCCGCACTGCCTCTGAGCACCCTGATCCAGTGTCTGACCACCTTCACAGTAAAAAACTTTTTTGGTTTTGTGGTGGGTTTCAGTTGTTGTTATTTTTCTCTCCTCTGTTTCAGAAAATATCTCATACTTCAATTTTTGCCAGTTGCCTCTTGTCCTGTCTCTGGGCTCCCTTGAGAAGAATCAGGCTGTGTGGTTTTGATTTCCATCTTGGGGCATTTATACGTGCTCATTTGATCCCCCTGAGCCTTCTCGAGGCTGAACAGTCCCAGCTCTCTCAGCTTCTCCTCATATGTCAGATGCTCCAGACCCTTAAATGGCTTTGTGGCCCCTTGTTTGGCTTTGTGGACCTTAGAACTCGACGCAGCACTGCAGATGTGTCCTCACCAGTGTTGAGTAAACACGCCTCCTAGCCATTTGGCCCTCAGCCTGTGTAAGGTGTTATTCCTCCCCAGGTGCGGGTCTTTCCCTTCACTGAACTTCATGAGATTCCAGCTGACCTATTTCTCCAGTGGTTCTGTAATATAAATATGAAAATAGCTAATTATTCTTTGATTTCATAATGTAAATGTCCCCATAAGGTACAGAAAAGAGTAGAGTTTTAGGTAGCAATATCCCCTTAGGACATGAATACTCTGTGCCTTGGTATGAAGTTATAAATGAGGAATTGGCTGCAAGAGGGAGTTTGGCTGGTGTCTTCCCAGCAATTCTTACCTTCTCATAGACAGTCCAAACCAAAATTACTTTTTAAACAGAAATTATCAAATACTGTAAAGGATCTTTGATTTGACACAAGGCATCTGGTCTCTTATGGAAAGTCAGCGAATTCCGAGTTCTAATCTTGGCTTGGAGAAGTTGTGTAGAAGAACACAATCCTGATGAGCTTATCTAATTTCTTCATGATATTTTGCTGAACTAAGTAGCAACTAAATTAATAGCAATTCTGGGAATAGTTTAGGAGGAGTACGGCGGAGATGCTGTAACTTTGAATTATGGTTATGACAGGAAAGATACACAGTGTTAAGTACTATTCAGAGATCCAAACAGAACTGCTTTACTGCTTTGGATAAGAAGAGAAAGCTTTATGTTATGCCTAAAATACAACTGGTCTCGAATAGACTCGAGAGCAGACCCACGCTAACCCTAATGCCCTCTGAAGTGACACTGTACTGAAGGTAGCGCAATTACTTGAGCATGACCGAAAGTAGAATTTGGGGCTTTTTTGTTGAGATGGCTCAGTTTTAAGCAAAAAAATTGTTATCCTAAGTTTGTTGCATTTAGTGGTTTGGTTTCGTTTTGTTTTCCAGTGGGAGAACAGAGGTCCAGTCTGTGCAGTATGGTAAAGAAAGAGCCAACAAAGACAGGGTATTTGCAAGGTAAGCACTTTACATGGTACAGGATCGGTAAGTCTTCTCTTTGTGTCTTGGGAGATGTTACGGGATCATTGCTATCTGTTTGCAAAAATGTAAAATAAAGAGCAGCTGTTGTCAACTGTTGCTGGCGGCTTGACTTAACCACATTAAGGAGTTTAATTTTTATATGGGAGGGAGTCTGGGGCAGCCAGAAATGGGGTAGAATCTTACGATGTAAAAGTTACTAAAGGTGTTATGTAATATTTCCTCCTTTATATGTCTTCAAAATTTAGAATTGCTTTCCATCTGTGCAGTTTGTTACATGTACTAGCCCTCTTCATGCTGTCTTTATTGCAAAGAATGGTCTCTAATCCATTAAAATAGTGAGTTACTGGGTATGTTTCATCCCTGATAACAACCTACAACTTTCCTTTAGAATAAGAAACTGTGAATGTCTGACTTGGTGAAAACAGCTTTACTACTGTATCAATGAGGTATTTCACTATGAAAAAACTGGCTGGGAGCAAACTGCTTTGGAAGGTATTCTGTCACAGAGTAGTTGGCTGATCATAGAATCTCTTACTTAATTGTGTTTCAGACTCCTGAGACATTTAGTGATCACAAAAAAACAGTCAAGATACATATTTAGTTCTTCATTCATAAATTATGACACTGCATTCAAAAGTAAAACTGCTGCTGCATCTCTTTGGCAGTCTGCTCTGATTGTTAAGAGAAAGAATCCTTATGAGCAGGAAGCATGCTCCATGCTTTTTTTTTTTAATGCTTATACTTGTAAGTGAGATGGGGAACGTCTTTTATGACAGTTATCCCTTAAGGAACTCTGGAGTTCAAATTCATGCTCGCAGACTCTTAGTAACAATCCCAGCAACCTTTCCCAAGTACCTGCAAACACTATTTTTCAGAGCATTGGTCAATTCTGCCTTGATTTCCTGCCCACTCCTCCTCTGGCTGCTGTTTTCCCCCTTTGCAATATAATATTATATTTTAACTAAGCACACCATAGACACCCAGCTCTCCACATTAGAAGGGTTTGAGGGCAGAAGTTCTGTGAATTGTTTGTTCAAAAGGCAGATTTTTGTAAGACCAATTTCACCTGTGTGCAATAGAATTATTTTTTTTAGTCTGATTAATTTACTTTTGGAGATTTTTTGCTTGAGGCAGCTTTTTAGTACTCAGGTGACTCAGGTGACACTGACAACTGAATTTTATTTATTTAAATTGCAGTTACGAATCAGTTAAACTATTTTTATTGTTGCGGTCTGAGCGTGGCAATTCCCCACAATTAAGTAGGGTGGAGGAGAGCTGATACTTGGTTTTGAGGAGTATATTTATCGTTTTAGGAACTCTT